CCTCTGACATCCTCACTCAGAAAACATTCAAACGATGGTTTCATAATGTTGTGATTGTTCCATCTTCTAAGAGTTTTTGATCTGGAACGTGTGTTTCAAATTCTGTGTTTGTGCCACTTGCTAGGGGTTCTAAAATCACTTAATTGGAAGGAATAGAAACATCGTGTCTAGACTCAAAACTGAGTTTGTTCTATTTGTGTTAACCATTCCAGGCTTTCTGTAGTAGAAATAGCTTTAGGAATCTTCTGTGGCACACCATTGCCTTCAATAGTAATGTCATCTTCATCACTGTCTTTATCCTTTGGCTCAACGTGTGGTTCAGTCTGCTGCAGATAGCCAAGAAGGCTGTTATTGGTAAATTGGCTGGAGCTGCCAGAAGTCCTACTGTTCCTAACATTCTCCTGATTGTCTCACTGTTATGATGATGTTGCAGCTGTTTGCGATCATCATGTCTGTTACTTGATCCAAACTCTTCCCTGAAACTTCTATATAATTAACTTCTAAAACGTCATCATTAACAGCCGATAGTCCTGTGCCGTGAGCCAGACCCTGGGGAACAAGCCAGGATATAAAGATCCTTGGGACCTTGTCTAAGCCATGTGGTGTCTCCCTTAGGCTGAAACAATCCCAGCTATAAAGTTCTAGGAAATGTTCAGTGTTGTGGTTGTAAAGATGAGCTAACCCCATGATGTGTTTCTGGGAGAACATCCACATCTGTAATAGCAGACACAGGACTAAAGTCTTGGGACAACCCAGTGACTGGATGTGTCTTTTTTCTGTGGTTGACAGAACACAATGCATTGATTAAAACGTTTTCCTTCTTCATTAGCATGTCTGTACCAAAGGCACTGTTGTCTGCTTCTTCCATCTTTTGTATAAAAAGCCATGGCCGGCCCGGTGGCACAGCGGTTAAGTGTGCGCGCTCTGCTTCAGCAGCCCAGTGTTCACAGGTTCGGATCCCGGGCGTGCACTGTCGCACCACTTGTCAAGCCATGCTGTGGCGGCATCCCATATAAAGTGGAGGAAGATGGACGTGGATGTTAGCTCAGGGCCAGTCTTACTCAGCAAAAAGAGGAGGATTGGCATCGGATCTTAGCTCGGGGCTGATCTTCCTCATACACAAAAAAATAAAAATAAAAAGCCTAAGCAGTGGGTTGGCTGTTGAAACAGCTTTGTGATAATTATCATGATTATTTATAGGTAGTAAGTATCCCTGGATATCTGCATAGCCTAATAAAACGTCAACATTAGATGTCTTATGAACATGTTGCAGTAATCCATAAAACTCCTCAAAATGCGAACTATTGCTCTTTCTAGCAAAAACTGATGAAATTCACTGCCAAACCTACTCTTCACCCCCAGGATGCCCTGGCAGCCACGGTCATGCTGAGTGCGGGACTGCCCCTTGGGAGTGCCAGAGGCAGTTTGGGTCTCAATACTGAGCTCCACAGGGTGGCTGGGGGCAGCCTTGCGGTGTGGCAGGTGGAGACTACAACTCCCTCCCAAACTCTGCTTTGGTGGCTGCAGGGCTCCTGTGGAGAAGGATAAGGGGGCAACTAGCCCATCTACCTCCTTGCTCTCAGCCGCCTCCCACATAACCAGGCTCCTGACTCGGGCCAGCAGCACCAACCTGAGAGACTTTAGATGAAAATATCATTAAAGACATTTTGGAGAAAAAGATCACCTGTAATCCTGCCACTTTAACATATTTTACCCACTTGTTAAAAATTACCTTCCAGGTCTTGTCCATGAGTATATGTTTTTATGCAGTGGCAATCTAATGTACATGCTATTTTATATCCTTTTGCCCATTAAAATAACCTTTATTCTATATATTTGACAACTTTAATAATAAAAAACCTGGAGGAAATAGAAACTTTTGTATTGTGTGCAGATGCCAGGTAGGTCGGTTTTCTGTGTGTGTTTTTTCTCCCCTCCAACTCCCCACATTGCCACATTATCACTAGATTAGCAGTCACCCTCCTCTCCTTGGCACCTGCCCATGGCTATCTTTACCCACTTGACTAGGCTAAATATATATATGTGCTGTGTGTGTATGTATATATACGTGTATTTGTATATTTTAAACACTTACAACATCTCACCATCTTGAAATCTTCCATACCGCTCATACAAACATATACCACTGCTTGATGATTCTTCCTGTGCCAGTGTCAGCTTCCATGGTGCCATTTTTCCCAACCACTGCTCCCCTCGAGATTCCTGACTGCCTAGCCCCTTTATGTCAGAGCTTTCTTTGACATCTTTTTCTCTGCCTTCTTACCTTTCTGCTTACCCAGTACAAAGCCTGAATGTGCTTTCAGAAAGAAGCCTTAAATTATCTCAGCATGTTTTATTGCACTCAGACCTTTATACATCCAAAGCCTTTTTACCACTCTTCTCCAATATTCATACCCCATTTTCTTCTGTAGTCACAATTCCTGTGCTCCATATATACTTATTTTCTAAATGTCATCTTCCCCGCCTTCATTTCACTTAAGTTCTTTTAAAAAAAAAATCCTCTCTCATCCTTTTCTTTTGGCGCCTTCCTCCAATCCCAAAGTTTCTTTCTGTCTTTTGTCAGTCATCTTTCTCCCTTTTACTCTTAACCTCCCTGGTAATTGTTTTCTCATCCTTCTCCAAAAACTCACACTCTGATAATGTGTATATAGTGTTCAGTTAAATGCTTCTGAATAACTATCTGCCTTTCAAAACAGTGAAATCTAAACTATTAGCATGGAAATAGCCCCTGGGAAGAAAGATGAGGTCTTTACTTGAAAGCTTCAAATAGAGATTCTCTTGCTAGTGTTGAATGATGGAGTTTTATCTGATATTATCTAGATGAAATGGAGTGACAACTTGAACCACTCAGAATGTCCACTATTGTGAAATGAGAGTAAATCGTCAATTTTAGACGTCTATCTAGTCCATGCTGAAGGTCTTTCCAGTGATGGAAGGAACTTATAATCTACAAAGCAACCCAATCCATTTTGTACCACTGTTGATTGTTGTAACTGTTCCTCCTTGTATTGGGTTAAAATCTACTAGATATAATTATATTCATTGGCTCTAATTCTCCCCTCAAGCTACACAGAATTTGGATCCCTTCTCTGCATGACAGCCTTTTAGATATCTAAAGATAGTCAGTCTATCCTCTACACCCCTCTCTCCACAATTTTTTTTTCCCTTTAAGTTAAACACTCTCAGCTCTTCCACTGTTCCTCATAGGACACCATTTTCATCATCCTGATTCCTCTCTATGGACATTACACATTGTTAATGTCCCTTCTAAAATGTGTTCAGAACTAAAAATAATGTTCAGTATGTAGCTGAATTGGATCTGGATGTTGCACATCTGGACATTAACGCAGACTGAAGTTGCTTTAAGTTTTTTAGAAGCCATGTAATGTTGGCTCATGATGAATTTGTAATTAACTAAAATCCCAAGATTTTAATCTGGAGGTTTGCCTTCACATGACTTCTTTCCAAACCACGATTTCATCTTCCTTTAGTTGTGCAACAGATTTTTAAAGTCAGAATAGAAGACTTTTACACATATCCCTATTAACTTTTATGTCATTAGCCTATCAACCATCCGTGGATTCTTTGATTCTTGCTTTTTGTCATCCAGCTTATGCTGATTCCACAAAGGGTTTTGAAGCTAGTGTCAGAATGTTTTCAGACATCTGGGAAACAATAATCAAAAGTCACAGAGACTGTCTTCCAAAAATTGTATGCAGATATAACTGAGCTCTTGAGGTATATATAAATTAATACCATTGTAACTTGACAAGGCCAGGAAAGACTGAAGTCCATTGCCAGCCTTCAAGACATAAGCCTTGTGTTGAACATTACTCCAAGAGAGATGATGTTCCAAAACATATTGGGCCAGCATAATGCCAAAAGAGCTACTAATTCTTCCCAAGAAATCAGTTAATACACCAAGAAGTAGAGACAGAGTCATAGTGACCATTCTTTTATTTTACATCTGACAAGCATATACTGAGCACAGTGTCAGGAAATGGTGGCAGCTTCTGGAGAACCAGGTTTGCCTGGGGCAACCCTGATTTACGCCTGTTGTCCTAGTGTAATTATTAGTACCATCATTTTTCACTTTCAAAAGCGTTCAGGTTTGGAGGATAAATTATCTGGCCACCCTTCTCATAACCCAGCCAGTTCCTTTTAGTATTTTTATCTGGGCTAAATATTACACAGCTATAATTTGGCAGCTCTAATGAGGCTGCAATAGTGCTTCCTTTCCATTTGAACAGATTGTTCCTTGACCATGGGAAGTTGATAGCAAAAGTAACTGTAGTTAAGGTCTACTCATACTTAGTATTTTTTCTGAGCCACCCTCTAGAGGGCAGTATTATATACATCTGAAATTATCCAATTCCAACAAAAAATGGACTCTTGTTTATGTATGAAAATCAGAAACATTTGATGCTCTTAAAGAACACATTGGAACCAATATTGTGAATAAAACTTATCTTTTGCTAAGCAAAAAAGTAAAGAAATATTAAAAATTAATTCATTAACATTCTGAACATTTGGTTTTTTAACTTGTAAAAACTGAACTTTGATGCTTTGAATATACAATGATCCGTTATAACAATTATACATAGGCTTTAAGAATCTGCATCTTTTATGCTTCTTTCATTTTTTTCCTAATTAATAATTTTATATGGTTAATAATTTTAATATACTCTGCGTCACGTAGTTTCCATATTTATGTAAAATAAGCACTTAAAAATGAATAGTTCTGTTCTACCTGCTTAAATATTACTTTCCTCCAAAAGAGAAAACAAAAATGCTAGTGTTTAATTTATTACTTGAATCATGTAGTAATGTAGAACTCTAGTATTTAGAATTAGAATGTTTCTTAGAGATTGTGTGATTACTTTAATATCATCAGTGAGTAATTTGTTAGCTCCTAATATCAAAAGTATATTGCCTGTGTTTCACATTTTGGATTTCCTAATGTAATGTTCTCTTTTTAGAAAAGGTGGACAAGTCCTCTTTTCAAGAGAAGATGACTTTTAACAGTTTTGAAGGATCTAAAACTTGTGTACCTGCAGACATCGATAAGGATGAAGAATTTGTAGAAGAGTTTAATAGATTAAAAACTTTTGCTAATTTTCCAAGTAGTAGTCCTGTTTCAGCTTCAACACTAGCACGAGCTGGTTTTCTCTATACTGGTGAAGGGGACACCGTGCGGTGCTTTAGTTGTCATGCAGCAGTAGATAGATGGCAGTATGGAGACTCAGCAGTTGGAAGACACAGAAAAGTATCCCCAAATTGCAGATTTATCAATGGCTTTTATTTTGAAACTAATGCTGCGCAACCTACAAATTCTAGTGTCCAAAATGGTCAATACAAAGCTGAAAACTATCTGGGAAACAGAAATCATTTTGTTTTAGGCAGGCCATCTGAGACTCATGCAGACTATCTTTTGAGAACTGGACAGGTTGTAGATATATCAGATAACATATACCCGAGGAACCCTGCTATGTCTAGTGAAGAAGCTAGATTAAAGTCCTTTCAGAACTGGCCAAACTATGCCCACTTAACCCCAGAAGAGTTAGCTCGTGCTGGACTCTACTACACAGGTATTGATGATCAAGTGCAGTGCTTTTGTTGTGGTGGAAAACTGAAAAATTGGGAACCTTGTGATCGTGCATGGTCAGAACACAGGCGACACTTTCCTAATTGCTTCTTTGTTTTGGGCCGGAATGTTAATATTCGAAGTGAATCTGATGTCGTGAGTTCTGATAGGAATTTCTCAAATTCAACAAATCCTCCAAGAAATCCAGCCATGGCAGATTATAAAGCACGGATCATTACTTTTGGGACGTGGAAATACTCAGTTAACAAGGAGCAGCTTGCAAGAGCTGGATTTTATGCTTTAGGTAAACTTTATTATAAAACCAGGCTAATAAATAACTTTCCAACTATCTCAGGGCTCCTAAAAAGTAAATAGATTCCTTTAGCCCCCTGAACTGATAAATATTTAGCTGTAGGCTGGCATGATTATATCAGTATTAGTCTGTGAACCCTTATGTTGAATCTGTAATATAACCACTGAATTTAATGTGAAAAAGACTACCATATTAGGAATCATGTTTATCTTCATGTAATTATTTTTTGGAGAAGGATGACATGCAAAAGATGATAGATATCCCTGATAAAAGAATGGGTCTGATAGTAATACTATAATTTATTGAGCATCTACTATATGTGCTCAGTACATATATTACATGCGTTTTCTCTGTGCCTTATAAGAAAAGTTAACATTAGAGAGTTTAGTTTGTCTAATATTAAAATTGACTAACTGCCTTTTGTCCATAGACTATATATTTGAAAGTTGCCCTGTATGATGCCTTATTGCTTCAAATGAGTGCTTTTCAAATGGACTCTTGTAGACATGTCAGGAAGGGCCATTAGTTTGATGGCTTCCAGGGATATTCAGAAATATTCTTCCGTTATGTATCTGACCTATTTTCTTTAGGATTGAATAGTGCCAAAATACAAAATATCAGTTATTTCAATATTTTGTTTACATAGTATCATACAGCAATCTTGGAGGTTTGTTTAGTGTTATGTAGCCATAACCTTAGAGAAACTTACCTTGTAATTTCATTATGCTGAACTTTATTGTTAAAGTTTCACAGTTTGAAAAAATGTAGTATTGATGGCCCCAAATGACATAGTTAAAAAGAACATAACAATTGTAATTTTTTACCTAAAAATTAGGCAATTTTATTTTTGTCTTCTGTAAAATCCCTCAAATTAGATCAGTGAATATAGTGTGTATTTCCTTCTCAAATGATTGTATCTATTACTTAGATGTGAATTTGAATGATTTTTAGGCTATGAGATTTTCGTGTAACTTAGAATTGTTTAAGCTCATGGTATTTAAAAGGTATTTTTGTATAAGCTTCTAATTACTCATATACACGTATTTTTACCTGTGTGTTTTCTTAGGTGAGGGTGATAAAGTAAAGTGCTTTCACTGTGGAGGAGGGCTAACTGATTGGAAGCCCAGTGAAGACCCTTGGGAACAACATGCTAAGTGGTATCCAGGGTAAGGTATTTAAATGTTCATTCAGTAGCAGACAAGTTGGACGGTGTGCAGTGGGAAGACCTGAATAACTTTTCACCTCAACTATTTTTGCCTTCACCATGGCTTGAAATTCACACCAGGTTTATAAAAATGGGGTCACCTACTTTATAGAAAAAACAAAACAAAACACCTAAGCCTTCGCTGGTGACCAGAACATTCATTGCTTGTGTATTGTATCTGTGACATTCTGATGATTCCATTTCTAAACACCAAATTAGGAATGTATACTTTTGTTGTTCTTGGAAGTAAGCTCTTTCACAGTGGGCACAAGAGAGCCCATGTTGCCAAGGAGATTCCTTAAGAACCTATCAGACACCCCTAGCAAATGTTACTGTGTCTCACTGATTCTGAGACACACAATTGTTCACATTTTCAGATCTCTGAAATCAGGACACATCTGGTGGTGGGTCATAATTTAATTGGTAGTGGTGGTACACAAAATAATCATGCTTCTTAACAATCAATGGCATCTTAGAATGATGATGACACACTCTAAATGTCTCTTTGCCATCTTGCCTCTTTAAAATAAAGCACACAGATGTATAAGTGATGTGAATTTTTGGCCTACAAAATAGTACAATTTAACTTCACAGTGAACATTTGAAAATAAATCTTAACCTTAAACAGCCATAAAAGGAAAGATCAAAAGCCTAAAGAATTCTTTTAAAATGTACAGTTGGTTAATCCTCTAAATAAAATTTAAGATTAACTATTTAAAACTTAAAAAAAAAAATCAGGTGATAATTTAATAACTTAAAAGTTGAAAGTTCTCAAGTTGAAATTTTTTGCTTTGCTAACGTTAGCATAAGTAGCATAACAAAGGGAACATATTTTTTTTTTATTGATGTCTTAATAGTTTATAACATTGTGAAATTTTTGGTTGTGCTTTTTCGTTTGTCAATCACCATATACATGTCTCCCTTCACCCCTTGTGCCCACCCCCCACCCCCATTGCCCCTGGTAACCACAATAACAATTTTCTCTGTCCATGTGTTGGTTTATATTCCACATATGAGTGAGATCATATGGTGTTTGTCTTTATCTTTCTGGCTTATTTCACTTAACATAATACCGTCCAGGTCCATCCATGTTGTTGCAAGTGGGACGATTTTGTCATTTTTTATGGCTGAGTAGTATTCCATTGTGTATATATACCACATCTTCTTGATCCAACCATCAGTTGAGGGACACTTGGGTTGCTTCCACTTCTTGGCTATAGTGAATAATGCTGCAATGAACATAGGGGTGCATAAGCCTCTTTGGATTGTTGATTTCAGGTTCATTGGATAGATTCCCAGTAGTGGGATAGCTGGATCATAGGGTATTTCTATTTTTAATTTTTTGAGGAATCTCCATACCGTTTTCCATAGAGGCTGCACCAGTTTGCATTGCCACCAGCTGTGTATGAGGGTTCCTATTTCTCCACATCCTCTCCAACATTTGTTGTTTTTCGTCTTGGTCATCATAGCCATTCTGATTGGTGTGAGGTGATATCTGTGTTGTTTTGATTTGCGTTTCCCTGATGATTAGTGACCTTGAACATCTTTTCATGTGCCTATTGGCCATCTCTATATCTTCTTGGGAACATATTTTTTTTTACCTTAAAATGACAGTTGGATAGGGAATTAATGTTTTATTTTGCAGCTCCTTAGAAATACTGAAAAGGAAGTTAATGGAATTAAGATGATGGAGATTATATCTTTGCTTATACTTTACTAATTTATCAGCTACTAAAGTTTAACCTTCTTTTAATTATTTAGGTGTAAATATCTATTAGAAGAGAAGGGAGAGGAATATGTAAGTGATATTCACTTAACCCATCCACCTGAGGAGTCTGCGGTAAGTCACATTGTAGAATATATATTTTCAAATATTATATAATTTGTTGTGCAGTGATTTCTTGGTGTAAAATTCACAGTATAGTATTTTAAATTAATTATGTATGGTGAGCTTTACAGGGGAGATCTTGAAGAATGCTTGTTATTCTTGAAGCAAATTTGTGGAAAGGGGATTCAGATGTACTGATTTAACTATCACTGTAGACAAAAATGGTTTTGAAGAACTAAAATACTCAAATCCCTCAGCCTTGTGAAATTAGACTTTTGTGTTAGGTGTTTCGTACTCATAGTTTTAAACTTTTCACAGACATTATTTAAAATCTCAAAAATGTATCTAAATTGATAGTGTGACCTGGGGTGGCTAAGGCATCAGTACCATGTGCAAAGAGCCCTGGATTAGAATGGGAGAGCAGAGTTTCCATTATAGCTCTGCCATGAACTTGATTGCCTCGATCAAGTTGTTGAATCTCCTTGAGCCTCAGCTTCTTGTCTTGTGAAGTGAATGGATTGGGTTAGATGATCTTTTAACTTTCTTCTAGTTTTGTCAAGCTATGCCTCTTATGAATATTCATGTGTTGAATTGAAACAAAGCCAATTTATAAATTCGTGATTAATGTAACTTTTCAAATTGAGGTAATCGCCTTCTACCAAAAAGAATTCTAACTTATAGTTTATATTTCTATTTTAGGTAAGAACTGCTGAAAAAACAACATCACTAACTAAAATAATTGGTAAATACACTTATTAATTTACTTTTAATTTCACTGCCGATTTATTATAGTTGTTGTTTATAGGGTGGAAGGTAATCGTAATCTTTCAAGGTCCAAGGTATATTTATTTGAGATGAGATTGTTATAAATTTAAGAATTAATGAAGTGCTTATAAATTTAAGTCAGATATTTATATATTAAGAACATTCGTACGGATGTTGGACAGTTTTTCCAAGTTTGGGGGTAGCAACTAATAGGCTGTCCATCGCCATTTCTGTTAAAATCACAAAAGGAAGGGTTAAGTGTGTTTTTGTCCCTGGGGCTTCTTTAGTCAGCCGAGATCATGAATCCAGTGCTCTAAGGTGCCATCACCATAATCAGTCCTGACCTACCTGCTTCCTTACCCGATGCCATCTTTGTGCTTTCCCCAGCTTCTTCACAGAGGGGTGTGCTTTAGTTTGTTGACCTCCTTTTACCTCATAGAGAGGTAGAAGTTTTTATCACAAAGATTATTTACTCATCATAGACATCTTTAAAAACCAGAAAGTGGGCAGAGAAAGATATTATGTTAAGCAAAGGAGATATTGTCATCCCCACTGTTCAGATGAAGAAACAGAGGCAGGTTAAGTGACCTGCCCACAGTTACATTGCGAATCATTAGTGGAACTAGGACTGTAAACAGGGTCTTCTGAATCCTACATCACACTACACGTCTCATACTCAACTTAAGCATCATATTTCAAAAATAGTAAAAAGTTTAATTTAGAGGTGGTGAACATGATGTAATCTATGCAGAAATAGAAGTATAATGATGTACACCTGAAATTTATACAATGTTATAAACCAATGTTACTGCAATAAACAAAAAATTAAAAAAAAAGAATATGTCTATATTGGTGATTCCCCACTCCCTATACTCATAGCATCATCTATTTCGTATCTTAAGCATTACAAGGCAAAGGAATACTATTTAGATTCATAAAGATGCTTGAGAAGGAGAGCCACTTTGATATTTTTTGATATGGGTTTTGTAATGGGCATAAATAATATAGTTTAAGGAATCATTTATTCCAGCCTATATTTTTGAAATTATCGAGAAACAAAGATTCTATAACACTTCTTGATAATAGTCATCCTTATAATGCATACTGTTCTTTTTATGACTAATGAGACTCTTGCTCTAGTTTAGGATTAATGTTTTTAAATTGAGATATAATTCATATCGAAAAATTTCACCCTTATAAAGTGTACACTTGAGTGGTTTTTAGTATATTCACAGGGTTGTGCAACCATCACTACTGTTTAATTGCAGAACATTATCATAACCCCAAAAAGAAACCACATACCCATTAGCAGTCACTCCCCATTGTCCACCCCCACCCCCAGGCACAAACAACCACTAATCTACTTCTGTCTCTATGGATTTGCCTATTCTGCACATTTCTTATAAATGGAATCATATATGTGGTCTCAAGGTTCATCCATGTTCTAGTACTCATATATGAGTACGTCATTTTTTTTCTTTTTCTTTTTTTTTTTTTCGTGAGGAAGATTGGCCCTGAGCTCATGTCTGTTGCCAATCTTCCTCTTTTTGCTGAGGAAGATTGGCCCTGAGCTAACATCTCTGCCCATCTTCCTCTATTTTTTATGTGGGATGCCACCACAGCATGACTTGATGCGAGGTGTGTAGGTCCGTGCCCAGGATCTGAACCTGTAAACCCCAGGCCGCTGAAGCAGAGTGCGCGAACTTAACCACTATGCCACCGGGCCGGCCCCTCATTCTTTTTTATAATGGAAAAATATTCCTTTGCATGGATAATATCACATATTGTTTATCCATTCATCAGTTGATGGCCATTTGGGTTGTTTCCACTTTTTGGCTATTATGAATGATGCTGATGCTGCTATGAACATTTGTGCACAAGTTTTTGTGTGGACGTATGTTTTTAAGTCTCTTGGGTTGGAATTGGGTTGGAATTTAGGGATGTAATTGCTGGGTCATGTGGTAACTCTATGTTTAACCTTTTGATAAACTGCCAGACAGTTTTCCAAAGTGGCTGCACCATTTTATAGTCCCGATGGCAGCGTATGAGAGTTCCAGTTTGTTTCTCCACATCCTTGTTAACACTTGTTAACAATAAGTGCCTGTTATTGTCTGTCTTTTTATTACGGCCATCTTAGTGGGTGTGAAGTGGTATCTCATTGTGGTTTTTTTTTTTCTTTGTTTTTTCTTTTTTTTGTGTGTGAGGAAGATCAGCCCTGAGCTAACATCCATGCCAATCCTCCCCCCCCTTTTTTTTTGCTGAGGAAGATTGGCCCTGGGCTAACATTGGTGCCCATCTTCGTCTACTTTATATGGGACGCCGCCACAGCATGGCCTGACAAGTGGTGCATCGGTGCGCGCCCAGGATCCAAACCCATGCTGCCAGCAGCGGAGCGCACGTGCTTAACTGCTACGCCATGGAGCCGGCCCCTCATTGTGGTTTTGATTTGCATTTCCCTGATGGCTAATGATGTTGAGCATCTTTTCATGTGCTTATTGGCCTTTTGTATATCTTCTTTGGGGAAATATCTGTTCATCTCCTTTGCCCATTTGTTGGTTGGGTTGTCTTTTTATTATTAAGTTGTAGGAGTTCTTTATATATTCTAGTCCTTTATATATATAAGTCCCTTTCAGATATATGTTCTATAAATATTTTCTCCCATTCTGTGGGTTTTCTTGTTGGTGTCCTTTGAAGCATGTAAGTTTTTAGTTTTGGTGAAGTCCAATTTATCTATATTTTGTTGGCTTATGCTTTTGGTGTTATATCTAAGAGACCACTGCCTACTCCAAGGTCACCTATGTTTTCCTGTAAGAGTTTTATAGTTTTAGCTCTTACATTCAGGTCTTTAATATATTTTGAGTTAATTTTTTGTATACGGTGTGAGGTAGGGATCCATTTAATTCTTTTTCACGTGGGTATCCTGTTGTCCCTGGTTTTGGTTTTTAGAAAGTTGAGCTTGAGATAACCTGCAGGATATCCAAGTGGGTGGATATGAAAACCTGGAACTCATATAAATGAGGGTAAAATTGTGATAGTAGGGGAAGTTTCCAGAGAGATCGTGGAAAAAAAAAAGGGTCAGTGAGGGAATGGAAGAGAGCCACTATCAATGTCTATTTAAGTGGGCAGAAGGAGCCAGCAAAACAAACTGGAAACACAAGTCAGAGATAGTAGAACCATGAAAGAGTGATGTCCAGCTGCCCTCTGGACAACTCCACCTAGAAATCTCAAAAGCAGCTCAAATTCAGCATCTCTAAAAACCACTCAGACTGAATCAAGTCCTGTTGTTTTCCTCTCATGTTGGTTAATAGTACCACAGTTTCACAAAGTTGCCTGGTGATTTGAGTCATTCTAAGCTCTTTGCTCTCCTTAATCCCTCTACATTTAATTAATTGCCAAGTTTGATGGCTTCCGCCTTTTTAATATTGTCTAAAATCCACCGATAATCTGCCCTAGTTCCTGCTCTTATTTCTCATCTGGACCATTGTAGTAGTCTCCTAACTGGTCTTTTGTCTGCATTATAACCTCCTGACAGAGTTTCATTTATCAAAGACAAATCTTAAGTTACTTTCCTACTTAGAAAATATCTTTTGTTACTTACCATATAATGTTCCTTATAGTCAAATCTCCTCATGTCTCCCTTTCCAGCCTCCTCTTTTAAAAAATGTTTATTAAGGTTTAATGTACATACAAAAAGTGCTTAAAGTGTACTAATCTTAAATATTGAAGTCAATGAATTTTAACATACATATATATAAAATATGTTATATATATCTGTGTAACCATTACCCAGATCAAGATATAGAACATTTCGACCACCCCAGAAAGCTCCTTCAGTTCCCTTCCCAATCAATACCCACCCTTCATTTATATTCTGACATCTGTTTCCATAGATTAGACTTGAACATCTTATAAATGTAATCATACAATATATACTCTTTTGTCTCTGGTTCATCCTTTTTTTTTTTTTGTGAGGAGACCAGCCCTGTGCTAACATCTGCCAATCCTCCTTTTTTTTTTTTTTTTTTTTTTTGCTGAGGAAGACTGGCCCTGGGCTAACATCTGTGCCTATCTTCCTCCGCTTTATATGGGACGCCGCCACAGCATGGCTTGCCAAGCAGTGCGTCAGCGCGCACCCGGGATCCAAACCGGCGAACCCCAGGCCGCCACAGTGGAGCGAGCGCACTAAACTGCTTGCACCACCAAGCCAGCCCCTCTGGTTCATCGTTATGATGACATTTTGCTCATATCTATAAGATTCATTCATGTTGTCTGTAGCAGTAGTTTTATTCTTTTTTCTTGCTGGATAGTGTTTGAATATACTACAATTTACTTATCCATATACCTGATGGGTGGACATTTGAGTTTTTTCCAGTTTAGGGCTGTTATAAATAATGTTGCTATGAATATTCTTGTGTATGTCTTTGGTAGGCCTACATACTCATTTTTAATACCCTAGAGTGGAATTGATGAGCCAAAGGGTATGTCTCCTTTAGCACTTACCTACACAACCTGTAATCCTACTTTCAGTATCATTAAAGTGAGTTTCTATTTGCTTTCTTGCCTTATCTCGTCCAACCCCCTTGGCTGCAAAAACTAAGTCTGAGATAGGAAACTGATACATTCAAGGTCACAAACTGGGACTTTCTCCTGTTTCCCATGATTTTTTCAAAAAAATTGCTAATGACTCAGTAAAGATATGCTGCCTTTAAGTACCTTAGGTTAGTTGTTAATGAGTACAGTTGATTTGAAAAAGTTCAGATTTCTGAAGGATTTAACCCTTTTCTTATCTTCTTATCTGTTTGACCTTATCTTGCACTGTTTCATCAGTCTTGGTTTGTTTTTTTTTTTTTTTGCTGAGGAAGACTGGCCCTGGGCTAACATCTGTACCCATCTTCCTCCACTTTACATTGGATGCCGCCACAGCATGGCCTGACAAGCAGTGCATCGGTGGGTGCCCGGGATCCGAACCCGGGCCGCCAGCAGCGGAGCGCGCGCACTTAACTGCTATGCCACGGGGCTGGCCCTCATCAGTCTTTAAAGCACTTAATCTCAATTCGTAGTGCTACAAAATACATATTCACTGCATTTTCAATTATAAAATTCTGAAAGTGATCCTTCAGTGCCTAAATATTTCAAAATCTTCTTCCCAAAGCAGCTTTGGTTTGCTGGTTTATTTATTTATTTAATTTTGCTTGCTGCTTAAGTTTTTTCGTTGTTATTGTTAACTATACTTTGCTGTTGAGTTGTATTAATGAAAATAATTGTTTAAATTCTGTGTGCTTTTTCCTTACCAATTTTCATTTCAGATGACACCATCTTCCAGAATTCTATGGTACAAGAAGCTATACAAATGGGATTCAGTTTCGGGGACATTAAGAAAATAATGGAGGAAAAAATTCACACATCTGGGAGCAACTATAAATCACTTGAGATTCTTGTTGCAGATCTAGTGAATGCCCAGAAAGACAATACACAAGATGAATCAAGTCAGACTTCATTGCAGAGAGGTATGCATGGCTGTTTTTAAAAAGCAAGAAACACCTAACAGTACTTCATTATGGATAGTATCTTCTGTGACTTTGTGGCCCACTCATTTCCCTCCTCTCACATCCCCCTTAAGATAAACTTTTTTTTTAACTTTTTATTATGAAAAATTTCAAACATATTCAAAAATGGAGAGAACAGTATAATGAACCTTCATGTACTCATCAACCAGCTTCAATAATTATCAACACTTTTCCAATCTTGTTTCATTTCTTCCCCTAACTTTTTTTTTTGTTATAGTATTTCAAAGTAAATCTCAGACATTCTATATATCATTTACCTATAAATACTTCAATAGATATCTAACAGATAAGGACTTTTTGTAGAACATAACCATAATACTATGTGTTAGTCTGCCCAGACTGCTATAATAGAATACCATAGACGGAGTGGCTTAAACAACAGACATTTATTTCTTAAAGTTCTGGAGGCTAGGAAGTCCAAGATCCAAGTACAAGCAGATTTGCTTCCTGATGAGGCTCCCTTCCTGATGAGGCTCCCTTCACTCTGTGTCCTCACGTGGCTGAAAGAGAGCACTCTGGTCTTTCTTCCTCTCCCTATAAAGACACTAATCCCATCATGGGGGTCCCACCCTCGTGACCTTATCTAAACCTAATTGCCTCCCAAAGGCCCCATCTCCAAGTACCATCACACTGGGGATTAGGGCTTTAACATGTGAATTTTGGGGAGACAGACATTTAGTCCATAACATAATGTTATTACACTTAACAAAATTAACAGTAATTCTATAATATCATCTGAAACTCAGTTGGTTTTAATTTTCCCCATTGTCTTAAAATGTATTTACAGTTGATTTCTTCTAATCAGGATCCAGGTAAGATTCACTGATCCATTAATTTTAAAAGTGTGAGTTTACGCTCTATTTTAGATAAAGAGCAACAAAGGCTAACTTTTATCATTGTGTATAGAATCTATAAGTTTTGTAGTTGAAACCATTTGGATTTACAGTGTTCTGCAACTTTTCATATGATGTAAACATATAAAGGGTCATATTACTAAATAGAGCTTGAATGAATGGCACTCTAATACTGTAAATCATATATAGAAAGAGTATTAAATAATGTAGAAGAGAAGCATATAAACTGCTTTTGGGAAACAAAGATCAAAACTACAAGTTCCTCCTTTAAGGATGATAGCTACTCTAGAGCTTGCCAGCATCGTTGAAGGTTAAAGAAAAGGTTTCCAGCTGAATACATTTTGGGGTACTTTATTATAATCATTGTTCCCTCAACTCTTGACCACCTCTTCCAAAACATGAGAATTTTCCTATGTGCTATTGAACTTAAAAGTTTACCTACTTTTTTTTTTCACATTAAAGATCCTTTTGATCTTTATTTCAGATGCTTTTGAAACATTATTCAGATAATTACATAAGTCATAAAACAGTATAACATCAATGATTTTTTAAAATTACATCAGTTGATGTAACATATTCAGCAGAAAGCTTACTGTACTTTTGCTAAAGATGCATTTATTTAAAACCTACAATAGCTCCACTCGTCTTGGTGATGGTAAAAGAAACCGCCATTGACTTGGTCATCTTTTTACTGCAGTAGAAATACATAGAAAAGTGATTGTGTCATTTTTTTCCAGCATCTTAACCACAACTCAAGCTTAATTAAGTTTGACTATAAGGTGTTAGTTTTTATACCTGAAGATGTTGTCTGCAACAGAAGGATTTAGTGAGTTGCAATAGAAGAGAACAAGGGACAGAGTGCATGGTGGGGGGTTGTCTGTTCTCTATCCAACAGGAGTCAATGGGGGTTATTATCACTGAGACTACAAGCTAGGATGGTGTGGGAAGGAGGACTTAAGCAAATGGCAGCTCTCAGGGGTGGAGGTTGGAATTTATCAGGTCTCCTCTCCTTAGTCTCACTAAATTGAGAGGCAGTTAATTGATATAGGCTATCTTCTCATGCTGGAGCTGCTTGCCTGTTTCTCTTCCCAAAAGCTGATGAGGAAAGACTTGCACTAAGAATCTTTTAATTCTATACAAAATAGAAGGTGTGCCTAATTGAAGTAAAGCAGGTGGAAGTTATTAGAAAAAGTACATTATTGTTGCTTAGTGAGAAATCCTAGATTTAATACTAGTTTTTATCTGTGTGACAGAGAATGCCCCAGTAAACAGTCTTCTAAAAATAGTACCAAATCAGTATCTTGTTTCCTTTCTTTTTAAAAATTACGTAGTATAATATAAAGCCCTTTACTTCGTGTGTGTGCTAAAGCACTTATTTTAATCCTTATGTGTATATCACTGTATGTAATACAAAAATCAAATAACTCATACACATTTCTTTTTTTTTTTATAATTTTATTTATTTATTTTCTCCCCCCAAAGCCCCAGTAGATAGTTGTATGTCATAGCTGCACATCCTTCTAGTTGCTGTATGTGGGACACGGCCTCAGCATGGCTGGAGAAGTGGTGCGTCGGTGTGCACCAGGGATCCGAACCCGGGCCACCAGTAGCGGAGCGCGCGCACTTAACCGCTAAGCCACGGGGCCGGCCCACCATACACATTTCTTATCAGCCTGTCTTTCCACATGGATCTGCTCTGATAGTAAAATGAATAACATCAGTTTATTCTAGAAGTGGTTTAAAATAATGTAGTAAAAATCTTGGCAAATAACATCAAAAGTTATCTAGCTATTGCCTTTATTGCTCATGTGCCAGGAATCTCCTGACCTAGAAGAAGGCATTGTAGGAAGTAGAAGGAGAAAGGTGCCATAGGGAAGGACATAGAAGCCAATAGTTACTTTGTTTAAAATTATTTTATTGAGGTCACATTGGTTTATAACATTATGTAAATTTCAGGTGTACGCCATTATATTTTGGCTTCTGTATAGACATATTTGGCTTCTTCATATATATATTTGGCTTCTTGAAGGCATCGTGTTCACCACCAAAAATCTAGTTTCCATCTGTCAACATACGTATGTGCGCCTTTACCCCTTTTGCCTTTAGCCCATCACCTGCCCCTCAGGTAACCACCAATCTATTCTCCTTATCTATGCAGTTGTTTGTTTATCTTCCACATGAGTGAAATCATACGGTATTTTTCCTTCTCCATCTGACTTATTTCACTTAGCATAATACCCTCAAGGTCCATTCACGTTGTCGCAAATGGCACGATTTTATCTTTCTTCATGGCTGAGTAATATTCCATTGTAGATATATACCACATCTTCTTTATCCATTTAACTGTTGTTGGGCACTTGGGTTGCTTCCAAGTCTTGGCTATTGTGAATAATGCTGCAATGAACACAGGGGTGCATATATCTTTTCAAATTAGTGTTTTTGTATTCCTTTCTTTGGATAAATACCCAGAAGTGGAATAGCTGGATCATATGGTAGTTCTATTTTTAATTTTTTGAAGAATCTCCATTCTGTTTTCCATAGTGCAATATTTACTTTTAAGGCTAGAGTGAAGTAATTGCCAGAGGTAAACTAATAGTCTGGGGAACAAAAATCCGTGCCCAGGGCATCACCATCTCAAGTAAGTGTCTGTATGCAAGGCTGAAATAAGGTAGGAAAAGTAGAGTTGATATCAGTGTTTGATAGGCGTGATGTTTCATTCCACTGTGATCTGTAAAATGGAATTGCAAACGATCAGAACCAAGAGGAACCTTAAAGATCATATATAATAACTTTCGTGACTTCCGTGAGAAAACTGAAGTGCAGATGTGCTGTTACTCAAGATCCCTCAGATAGTTAGGAGTAAAATTCAGATCCAGTGTTCCTTTTTTTTCTTTAATTAAAAAAAATTGTGATAAAATACACATAATGTAAAATTTACTACCTTAACCATTTTTAAGTGTACAGTTCAGTAGTGTTAAGTACATTCACATTGTTGTGCAACCAATCTCCAGCACTCTTTTCATCTATAAAACTGAAACTCTGTACCCAGTAAACAACTCCCCAATCCTCTCTCCCCCCAGCCCCTGGCAACCACCATTCTGTTTTCTGTCTCTATAAATTTGACTACTCTGGGTGTCTGGCCCAGTGTTCTTTTTCACTCATTGCAGCATCACATCCAAAAATAATGTGTGAATTACTTAATTGTTTTCCTCCTCTTGATTTTTTTTCTTTTGAGTTACAAGTCTACTTTTAATACTTTGGGGTGAGCTCCACAGTAATAAAAAATACTGGGAAGGGGTAACCCCCTCACCCCCAGGAGTGGCCCAGGGGGAGAGAGGCTACCTGAGGGGAAGGAGGCACGAAAGGGACCCACTGCAGACTCAGGGCAAAGGGAATGCCATTGGTGCCGGGACCTGTGAGCACTATGGGAGGAAGCGAGGGCGTGATGGAACTGGCTCCAGGCACATGGGCAAAGGGCAAGAGGGTTAGACACAAAGCTACTTGGGTTCCTCCTTCTCGTTTGTCTTTTTCTGCTTCTGCTGCATGATCTCCAAGTCCTTCTGCTTGCAGGCGGCAGCAGAAAGCTCACCATCTCAGCGCTGTCCCTTAACCAAGTCGCTCTGCTTTTTCCTATTCTTCTGGTGGGCGAGCTCCTACTGGTTACCGTGGCTCATGGTGACAGCGTGAATATATACTTCATTCTGATGTTTTAGGTCAGATGCTTTCATATAATATAAATCAGTTTATAATGCCATCCCTTTACTTATGTCATTTCCTCTGCCCCAAATGCCTTTTCCCTATCTATATACCTAGTCCTTATTCCCCACTCTACCCCCAGTTCCCTAAATCCATCTTGTGAACTCATCCTTCAAGGCTCAGCTCAGAGATCACTTCTTTGAAGTTTTCCCCAATACCCATAGCCGAGTTTGGAGCTCCCTCTTCTCCACTTTCCATACTGTTAGAGCATTTGTAGCATTATTTTGGAACTGTTTTCTTTTCTGTCCTGCCCATTAGACAAACTTCTTGAAGGCAGGCAGGTGCTTTATCTTCTTATTTCGCATACATTCCATGCTTGAGCCTAAAATTTTGATTATGCCCAGGAGGTTGCCTTTTAAGAAAAAAAGAAACCTTTTTGAGGCACAAATCAGGTCATCTCTCTGTAGGTTAAAACCCTTCATTGGCTCTCTTTGGATCAAGTTGGCTCTCTTGGGAGTTGGATCAAGCCCACGCTCCTTTACGTGGGTTGCCAAATCTTTCATGATCAGGCTCCTGCTAACCTATAGCCTCATCTTATGCTGTTTCCCCCTCAAATTCGATTCCCAAGCCTTAACCTGTGCACTTGCAGGCCCGGTTCTGTTTCTCTCAATGGAGCTTGCTTATGCCATTTTCTCTGCCCAGAACACTCTTCTCCCACTGCCCCTATCTCCCAGGGCCTTCTCCTAGTTAACTCCTACTCCTCCTTTGGGACCCAGTTTAGGTATAATTTCCTCCAAGAGGCCTTTCCTTTGTGTGTGTGCGTGCACACACACGTGCACAGACTTACACCCTTCCTATGTTCTTGATAACACGTTGTAATTACTTTTATCATCACACTGTATTATAATTTCCTGTCTACTTGTGTTCCCTTCTTGTCTGAACGATTGGGGGCCTGGGGTCTATGGATTTGTTAATTGGATCTCTAGTGCCTAGAACCCAATTAAGTGTTCAGTAAGTATTTGTTGAATAAAATTAAAGCACAGTTTCCCAAACTTGTTTTCAGAGTAGTGTTCCCCAGGATGTTAAAAGGGGTGCCGTGAGAAAGGAGTTCCATAGTTAAATAGAGAAATGCATTGTGAATTTCTAAGAGGATATACACTATATTATACTGCCCTGGACTTGATAGCAAAGGTTCCCAAATGCCTGTGTGCTCAACCCCAGAAATTTTAGATTCAGTGGATGGAGCCCAGGAATGTATTGTTTAAAAATGCCCCAAGTGAGTCTTAGGTGAGGCCAGATTTGAAAACCACTGGTATACAGTGATTACAGAGATTGTGAAAACGTGTGATGCATTTGGAATTGTGCATAGCTCGCAGTACTGAGTGCTGTATTACTGTTAACTGCTGCTGTTGTTGATGGTGTTGTCATTATAGTTATATATCACCATGAAACACATTTTTGTGGCATGTTTGTTAACATTTCACAAAACCTGGTTTGGGAAAGGCTAAATTAAGCAAGTGCTTCAGTGCCACCTATATATTGATGACACCCAAATCTCTGTTTCTAGCCATGACTTCTCCTGACCTCAAGATTTGACTCTCCATTTGCCTACTGGACATTTTTATATGAATGCCCTACAGACACTTCAAAAATATCTTGAAAATTCCAAACCTATTCCTCCTTTTATATTTCCTATTGGCATCACCATCCCCTTGTCAGCCACGCTAAAAATCTTGAAACCAACTTTATTTTTTCTTTCTTCCTCACCCCTCGCATTCAGTCAGTCACCAAGTCCTACTTGTCCCACTTCAGAAGTGTCCCTCAAATACATCCCTCTATTTCTAGAATAAACCATGCCCTTTCCATATGCTGCTTATTTTACCTAACCCTTGCTTCTCTGCCTGGCAAATTGCTGGCCATGTTTAAATGTCACTCTACTTCTCCCCTCCCCCACCCAGCTGCCACCAAACTGTGAGGACTTCTCCAACTAGTCTGAACAGAAGAGCTTGTTCTCTCATCTTGTCCCAGAGCACTTTGTACGTAACTTTATTATAGCACTTATCACTTTGTACTTTGTGCTTACCTCCATAGCCTCAGCTCATGTCCTTCTCTCCCACTAGCGTGCGAGCTACTTAAGAGCAGATGCCATGTGTGAGTGAGTCATCCTCTCCTCAACGCTTGATTAGTGCCTAGCACATAGTAGGGGTTCACATTGTTTCAGTGAATTTAGGCTACTAAGAAAGTCTAAAATTAACACATTTCTTTTCTCTTTGTGCAGAGATTAGTACTGAAGAGCAGCTAAGGCTCCTGCAGGAGGAGAAGATTTGCAAGATCTGCATGGATGAAAATATTGCTGTAGTTTTTGTTCCTTGTGGACATCTGGTCACTTGTAAACAATGTGCTGAAGCAGTTGACAAATGTCCCATGTGTTACACAGTCATTACTTTGAAGCAAAACATTTTTATGTCTTAATCTAACTCTACAGTAGGCGTGTTATGTTCTTATTACCCTGATTGAATGTGTGATGTGAACTGACTTTAAGTAATCAGCATTGAATTCGATTAGCATTTGCTACCAGGTAGAAAAAAGTGTAAACTGCAATGTTATAGTTGGCAATCTAAAATTTGAATTTCTGGATTTTTCAGGATATTAGCTGTATTATCTATTTTTTTTTTACTGTTATTTAATTGAAACCTTAGACTAAGAAGCATCATATTGTAACTGATCACACTATGTATTTGTTGTAAACTGACTTAGTTTCTATGTGTAAGAGAATTAATCAGCTGAATTTTTCATTCTTTTCAGATAGGCTTAACAAATGGAGCATTCTGTTTAAATGTGGAGATTAGAGTTAATCTCCCCAATCACAATTTGTTTTGTGTGAAAAAGGAATGAACTGTTCCACACTGGTGAAAAGATAGAGATTATTTTCAGATGTTTGTCTTTGTGTTTTAGAATTCTGTCCATTTTCTTTTAAAATTTTACACATGTACTGGGTAGCTGATTTAAAAAATGATTTTGCTATTGTTAAAAGGGTATTTAATAATAGAATACCATCTAGCCTACATGTACTAACATAGAAAGATGTCAAAGCTATATTAAGTGTAAAATGCAAGTGGCAAAACACTATGTATACGATGAGCCAAATGAAGGTGTGTGTGTTTTGTATATGTATAGGACAAAAGATTTGGAAAGATATGCACCAAACTGTTCAATGTGGTTTCTCTTGAGGGGGTGGGGGGATGGGTCCCAGAGGGGGTTTACAGGGGCCTTTCACTTTCTACTTTTTTCATTTTGTTCTGTTTGAATTTTTAAGTATGTATTACTTTTGTAATCAGAATTTTTAGAAAGTATTTTACTGATTTAAAGGCTTAGGCATGTTCAAACGCCTGCAAAACTACTTATTGCTCAGCTTTAGTTTTTCTAATCCAAGAATGCAGGGCAGTTAACCTTTTTGGTGCCAATGTGAAATTTAAATGTTTATGTTTTTCCTGCTTTGTGGATGAAAAATATTTCTGAGTGGTAGTTTTCTGACAGGTAGACCATGTCTTCTTCTCTTGTTTCAAAATAAATATTCCTGATTTTGTAAAATGAAATATAAAATATGTCTCAGATCTTCCAATTAATTAGTAAGGATTCATCCTTAATCCTTGCTAGTTTAAGCCTGCCTAAGTCACTTTACTAAAAGATCTTTGTTAACCCAGTATTTTAAACATCTGTCAGCTTATGTAGGTAAAAGTAGAAGCATGTTTGTACACTGCTCGTAGTTCTAGTGACAGCTTTCCATGTTGAGCTTCTCATGTCGTCTTGTATCTTAAAGTTTCATGTGAGTTTTTACCGTTAGGATGATAAGATGTATATAGGACAAAATGTCAAGTCTTTCCTCTGCCTAAATTTTTTTTGTTTTCTTGACTAGTAATAGTAATAGATACTTCTGAAATAAATGTTCTCTCAAGATCCTTAAAAACCTCTTGGAATTTATAAAATATTGCCAAGAAAGGAAGAGTAGTTGTTTGAATATTGAAAAGAAAAGAAAAGAAAACTTGAGTAAGAATCAATATAGATAAAAAATCTAAGTTTAAAAATGCTTCATAGAACATCCAGGCTTTACATTACAAGATTCTCACACAACCCGTTGTAGAGGTGAGTGAGACATTTTACTGCAGAGAAAAGTTTAAGAGTGAAACTGTTAAAAATTATATTTTCATTGTATTTTCTAAGAGAAAGAGTATTGTCATGTTCTCCTAGCCTCTGTTGATTACTACTTTAAGTGATATTCATTTAAAGCATTGCAAATTTAAATGAGAATTTTTTTAATTACATAATGACTGCCCCGTTTTTGTTTTACTATATAAATCCTCAGCTCTTTACCTTTGCGCTGTGTTCCACTTAGATTTAGTTATATGTTCATTAAGTTAAATTTTACATGTTTAGTCTAAGCTTTGAATTTAAATTACAAGGGGAGAAAAGTGTTAAAAGTTTTTAAAATGTGTTTTCCAGGACACGTCAGTTCCAAATCAGGTAGTTCTCAGTCTAGTTGTTGGCCAAGGACTGAATTGTTTTAACATAAGGCTTTTCCTGTTCTGGGAGCCTCAGTTCACTAAAACTCATCTTTTAAAACTTGTATGTTTAGAGTTAAGCAAGACATTTTTTCTCCCCATGAGTTGTGAAATTTAATGCATGAGGCTGATGTGGCTAACAGGTTTATTTTAAGAATTGTTTAGAAATGCTGTTGCTTCAGGTTCTTAAATCACTCAGCACTCTAACTTCTAATCAAATTTTTTAAGACTTACCGATGTTTGTCTGTATTCGCACTATAAAAAGCACTGGGTCCTTCCCATCTAATTGTGCTAAAAGTGATCACTTGCAAGGTCAAAAATATAACCAGATCCAAATCTCTGCCTCTCTCTTTCCCAAAATAGTTCTCAGTATCTACATGTAGACATTCTTTTTCTGTATAAAGTTCACTCTAAGATTTTGAAGTCACCACCTATTTTACTATGTTTTAGTCACGTGAAGAGTCAAGCTGTTTTGTAATAAACAGTTATCTTTATTCGTAATAATTTGGTGTGCTGATCAAAAGCCTTGTGTTAATTTTTGAGAAATGGGTTTAATGTTTATAAGATAAATTCCAGTTTATTAGTGAATGGCTTTATATTGCCTTTCTTACTAGATTTGTTTTTTTTTTTCCCCTTCGATTAGGGGCAAAGATGGGGTAGGGTGGATGTAGTGAATGTATATAATGTGCTTTGGCCCTGTGTATTATGATCTTTTGTGGATTTTGTTGTTATATTATTTAAATTTGGGTAGTTTTTTTCCTGTTTTCATTTTAGTGGATAGAATTTGTATTTTGAACTCTGAATGGAGACTGCCACCACGCATTAGTTGCATGTATTGTACCCTTTTAGCCACAAATCAGTGTTTTATTTTCTGATTACCCAGTTGTTGAATGGCGAACAGGGGTAGAGGGGTGAGAGAAATGGGATGGGTTGTGTATCATTTCCATTAGAGAAATAAGAAAACAGGAGAGAATATTTGACAGATGTAGTTCTTTTTTCGCCAAATCTGCTTTTTAAAAAAAGTTAGCCATTTTTTCATCTAGGAAATGAGAATAATACCTGTCTTAGAAAGTTATGAGAGTTCAAGGAGACCATGTATGTAAAATACTTGCTATAAATGTTAATTCTCTTTCTAACACTCTTTTACCCTGCATGGGATTACCTTGATTCTGGAAATTTGGGCTGAAACTTAGATGATAACTCTTTCAGTGACACTTACTCATCTTTTTTGGTGTTTCTCATAGTTGAGATGTAAATTATAATAAAAAGGTCAAGCCCTTTAAAAACTTGAAAAAATTATCAAATTTAATTGAGCTTTCCTAATAGAAACAATTGACTTATTCCTATCTTCATAATCCGTTTCAATTTGACTCTTATACACTTAGCAGTGTGAATTTTATTTGCAGCGTAATAGAATCAGAGGGTGTCAGAGCCAAAAGCGACCTTAGAGAGTATCTCATTCATCCCCCTTCTTTTACAGATGAGGCAACTGAGGCTGGAATGTGAAGTGATTTGTTCAAAGCCATATAGCTAATTAGTGGCAGCCCAGACTGGGCCATGGTTTGAAGGTGAAAAACTTAAGCTCTCTCTCCTGGGAGCTCTCAAATGTTTATTTTTTTTCAACTATTTCTTCTATACCATAACTTTCACTACATATTAAATGACACTTTATAACTAATACAATAGGACAATCCTAAATACATATATCTTCCAAGTGTACAATACTACATTAATGTTTGGGTGGTAAGATTCTATTTTGAAGTCTCAAAGTTGCAGGTATTCGTATAGATTTTTTGGCATTTGCTACATTCTTATTGTATATCATTAATGTAACATTTAAAATTACTATATTTTGTCATTTTGTCTATACTTAATAATAGATTTGCATTTTTGATTTGATGTAACAAAGGCTTTAATGTAATTTCTGTTAGAAAATGTTGCATTTTTTCATTACTGTTATACTTTATCTAACCCAACAGAATGACTGATTATGTCATTCTATTAGTGTTGTGAATAATTATGTGAAATGTTTTCAGATAGAGTACTATATTTGTGAATATAATTTTATGGCTTTTTTCATTTAGTAGAAATCTTTCCATCAGTATGGAAAACGAAGAAAATTGCTTTCTACTGTATCATCTGGCAGTCGTCATAGATTAAAGCTTATTTTTCTGTGAATAAAACTTATTCAATAAAGTACTATTCTTTAAAATATCTTATTACTTTGTATTTGTTTCACTTTCTCAGAAAAAATAAAATAGCCCTCTTAAAATACTAAAACATAACCTCCTAAATATATCTTATGCTATTGAGCAAGGCATAAGGTACACATCATGTTATGTGTTTTTTTTTAAAGACATCTGTTTTCACATTAATTTATAGAATTCTCTAAGTGCATGAAAAGTCAATTTTTAAAATGTATAAAAATATGAACCATAGTAACACCCTCCTTCCCACAAAGGTTGGTCTGGTTGTCCCAAGAGATAGTATAGTCGCCATAACAAAGCTTGAACAAGCAAGGGACCTAAAAGCCACTGCCCCTTTGAGGCAGGCAGCAGAGGAGGATTTTTGTGAGTCTAGAGGCAGCTGCCCAGAGTGTCAGAAGCTGCAAGCAGGGTCCGGCCCCGTGGCTTAGCGGTTAAGTGTGCGCGCTCTGCTGCTGGCGGCCTGGGTTCGGATCCTGGGCGCGCACCGACTCACCGCTTGTCTTGCCATGCTGAGGCCGCGTCCCACATACAGCAGCTAGAAGGATGTGCAACTATTAACATACAACTATCTACTGGGGCTTTGTGGGGGGAAAGGGGAAAAAAAAAAAGGAGGAGCATTGGCAATAGATGTTAGCTCAGGGCCGGTCTTCCTCAGCAAAAAAAAGAGGAAGATTGGCATGGATGTTAGCTCAGGGCTGATCTTCCTCACAAAAAAAAAAGCTGCAAGCAATCTGGTGGGGTAAAGAGTGAGGGAATAAAGGATCCTTAATGGCATCAAGTGGCTATTTCCCCTACCGGTTCCTGCCCACAATGGAGGTTCCTAAATTAAGTTCTATTTCAGGCCTGGTACGTATAGTGACTGATTATCAAATCCTTGACTATCACTGTTATGTGAGATACAGCATAAGAACCTTGTTTTAGGGTCGGCCCCGTGGCTTAGCGGTTAAGTGCGCGCGCTCCGCTGCCGGCGGCCCGGGTTCGGATCCTGGGCATGCACCGACGCACTGCTTCTCCGGCCATGCTGAGGCCGCGTCCCACATACAGCAACTAGAAGGATGTGCAGCTATGACATACAACTATCTACTGGGGCTTTGGGGGAAAAAAAAAAAAACCTTGTTTTAAATGCAGCCCACACTCTTTTTTACATGTCAACTACAGTTTCAATGAATATTGATGAAGATGTGGATTTTCAAAGTTTTCTCTTACAGAAATTTTCAAACTTACACAAAAGTAGAAGGAAAGTATAATGAACCCCATGGTACTCATCATTCAGCTTCAACAGATATCAACATTTTGCCAATCTTGTTTCATCTAGGACTCCCCCTTCTTTTTTTTTTGCTGGCATGTTCTAGAGCAAATCTAGATATGTCATTTCTCCTGTAATTACCTCGTTATGTACCTATACCAGACAAGGACATTTTTTACATAAATGTGTGAATTTTTAACTTGCCACTATTATTGCTGAATTTTAATGAACATCTCAAGAATTAAAATGAACTTTATTCCCTCTTTTCCCCTATTTGAACATTAAACACCCTCAAAACTGATATTATCATTAAAAAAAATACTTTTAGACCACATTCTCACTGTTTCATCTGTAGTTTGCTTATAGATTGTAGAAGAAATGCGGTACTTATTAAAAGTTAGGCTAACTGCATGGGGTATGGATACCATGGGTTCTCAAAGTGTGGTCCCCAGACCAGCAGCAGCTGCATCACCTGGGAACTTGTTAGAAATGCAAATTATTGGTCCCCACCTCAAACCTACTGAATCAGAGCCTCTGAGGTGTTACCCAGCAATCTGTGTTTTAACAAGCCCTCTAGGTGGTTCTGATGGAGCTAAGGTTTGAAAACCACTAGAATATAGTATGGGATCTGAATCCAGAAAAACAAAATGGCTGAAACCTGTAAAGCAAATTGATGTAGCTCTTTGTAAATAACTGTCATCCTCATGTTTCTTTTGCTTATAACTCATTGCTGATCCAGCCCTGTATTTTCTCCTGCTACCAAAATGCGAAGGCATAAAATGCAACATCTTTGAAAATCCCTTCTGATTCTACTTTCCAACAAAACTTTCTTGCATACAGTACTCTTTGAATTCTGTAATGAGAATCAATCTTCAGCCCTTTCACTGCTATGTTCAGAGTAGCCCCACATCGCTCATTGCCATTAAACTATCCTCCAATCAAGCAATGCAAGAGTTAAGTATTTGAAGACTCACTCATAAGTGCTAGTGTGACAGCAATCAGTTGAAATTGTACAGAACACACCTGCACTTCTAGAAAGAGTCACAGCTTCAGTGAAATGTGGACGGTTAATCTATAATGATAGAATTTGAGTTGGAAGGGGTCAGTCTCTCTAATTCGTAATAACTAGCAGTTCTGAATTCTTTTTTAGGTCTGAAATTCTTAAAGTAATTGTGACACAAAAGAACCGAAGAAAGCTCGCTTGAGTCTCTAAAGGCTTTCAGAGTTGCATAAATCCACACTCATAGGTCAATATTGGTCTCTAACTAACCAAACTAAAAATCTTAAGGTAGGTAAGGCTAGACGTAAGTTAGTCAGTAGACTTAGTTTTCTTTTCTTTTCCCCCAAACCACTAATTTGCTTATAACAAATACTTCCATAACCTAGCCATTTGGCTTTGTATAGTTTTGTTCTGCTTAGAGGTTTTTTTTCCCCAATCTTATTCTGTTGAATTTGAGATTTCAAGACCTTTATATGCACCATAATTAATGACGACAGCATAAGAAATCCTTTGTATGGACCTATACTTGTTCACTTTACACTTATGAATAAATATTGGAAGAATACTAGTTCAAAACAAATAAGGAATAAGAACCTAAGAGAAACCAAACT